TTGTTTCGGCTAAAAACCGCTCGGTCTCAAATCGAGCATTCGGGCTGCATACTGCTAAGTCGAAACTTCGAAAAATCATAACTTCCTCATACGAAGTCAGATTTGGGCGTTCTTTTTATGCACGCTCATGGTTTAACGTATTCTACGACTTTCATTTAGATTTCTAAGACTAAATATCGCTCTAACGTAAATTCACTTTTTACGTCGCGCTGTGTCATGCCGGTTCTGTCGCGAAACTTCGACAGGTCATAACTTCTTCGTTATAACTCGGATTTCGGCGTTCTTTATATGTACGGAAACCTTGTAAAATATACTATAACTTAGTTAAGATTATTCATTCTAAACAATCTTTCATCAAAAATTCATTTTTGACGCCTATCGTCTCTAAATTGACTAGCCCGAATCTATGGGCGTTACAAACATGACATCTCGAGTCTTTTAATGAAATACATTTCTAAGGAAATGCTTTTGATAAATCTTTATCATATTATTGTTTTGGGACAAATTCCGCAACTCTTTTATTAGAAGGTTACTCTGATTTTGAAATAAAGTATGAACAAAACCGATCTTTTCTGACTGTGATTTTGGGGATGTCACAAAAGTATAACATAAAGCTGCAAGCTTTACGTCCATGCATGACATCAAGGGCTCAAAATGCCAAAACAAGCTCCATAGAGGGTTTAATGGATGAAAGTTGGCCAATAGCTTGATAAAGCTTGAATCTTTAGGCCCAAGGGACCTCATACTATCCAGATTTGAAGTCTCAACTCCATGGAAAGCTCAAACAACTTAATGACCCAAAGAAAAGATGGAAATGGCCATAAACTCCCTAGTGAAGATATCTAACCAAACAATGATCAAGGTGATGATGTTTTACCTCCAAATAACAGCTAGCACTTAAAGAACAGTGGATCCAAGGGCTTATTCTCATTCCAAGCCTTTTTCTCCTCAATCTCCTTCCAAAAATACACTAGAGCCTACAATCTTAGTCTCTCTCTCTCTCTCTCTCTCTCTCTCTTTGTCTCTGTATGTCTGTCTGTCTCTTTCTCTCTCTCTCTCAGATGAATACAACTCGATTAGGGTTTCTCTCAGTGTGTTAAGGTGATAAGGGAGGCAGAAATGAAGGCTTAACGTCCTTTAAATAGGGTACAAACCCTGAAAATTTTGGTTTTCACACTCAGCTCCTACTCGTCGAGTTAGGGCCCTCCAACTCGTAAAGTAGACTCTAAAAATCATGCGTCCATCTCAACTCCTACACGACAAGTTAGGACCAACCAACTCGTCTAGTATGTCATATAATGTAAATAAAATTCTCAAGTTCTGCATCCAGGAAATCGGGGTGTTACAATTATCTTGCAAGAAATGGAAGGAAAAGCACCAACCAATAGAAGTGTAAAATAAATAACAACCTTTTTTATCTTTGGATCCTCAAGAGAAGGCTAGGAAGTGGATAGAGAATGTGGATTTCTTTGTGCACACCAATAATAACCCAACTTGAACAAGATGCTAGTCTTGAAAAGCTCTTAAGCTTTAAGTTAAACCAAAAATATGACCTAAATAGAGAATTCAAGTAACTAGTTCTAACACTCTTAGAGAAACTTGAAAGTGTGAGAGGGTAGCAACCCGTTTCATGCTTTAAGATAGTGCCAAGAATGAAAGCCCCATACATAGTCTTAAAGCAAAGGTATTAACCTTAAGGTCTTAGCACTTTAAGACTTACCATGTCCGTAGTCACCCATACTTTATCATATGGTCAAAGCATGCTTTCAAGAGGCATAATCTTTTGATTAACAAATAAAAAAGGCCATGGCCTCTCATCCTTTAGTGTCTACGGTTTTAATGAGAAAAAGAAAACAAATCTTGTAAATTTTATAAACTTCCTTTATAAAATATAAAGTTTAACCTTTTGGTAAAAAACAAAAAAGTTTTTATAATCTAAATTGTTGTACATGACATAACAAGTCATATCCTATGATATATCATGTTACTTGTCATTGAAAATTAATATTTCAATGAAATAAATAATTTTCAATTAATTATAAGAGTTTATAAATATTTATTAAAATCAATTTATAATAAATAATCAATTGTGTCAAATTATTGTTAGTATGACCCTTTAAGATCATAGTTTACTTAACAATATCATTTTAATATGACTCTGAAGCATAAAAGATCTTTCACATATATATCCTACCAACACCTAGATTGTGTAAAGGATGACAACAACTCATTTCCAAATTTAACTTGTTGTTAGGAGTAAAGCCCGCTAAATGTTTCATGTTGTAGACATGGATGCATAAGTATTTGTCTTTATTTTTTGGTTTGACGATAACTTGAGCATGAAAAAACTTGAAAATTTTGATGAAAAAAGGTTAACAACATGCTCAATCTTCTTGATTTCCGAGTACGGGTTTTTGATGGTTTTCAAATTTATTCTTCTTATGTCTCCAAAATGCAATACATATTGTTGAGACGGTTCATCATTTTTATTTCCGAACATGTTCTTTCCTATTAATTTTGAATTTGTTATTCATATGGCTGTAAACGAACCGAACGAACACGGACAAAGCTTGTTCATATTCGTTCGTTTAAGTTAGTTGAACAAATGAACGAAAATGAATGGATAAACAAACGAGTCTTCTTGTTCATGTTCGTTCGTTTAATAAATTGCATTGTTCATGTTCGTTCATTTAATAAATTGCGTTGTTCATGTTCGTTTGTTTATGTTCATGAACATGCTAACAAACATATACACAAATGAACATAAGCGAACAAAGATAAACAAACACAATTCGAACATATATGGACATAAATGAACATATAATATAATAATGTAATCAAATACAATTAAGCATATATGAATATAAAATGAACTTATATGAACGGATATAAAGAAACGTTTACGAACATAACTAAACGAACGAGACAAATTGTTCATGTTCATTCGTTTAACTAAACGAACGAGAATTTTATTCATGATCGTTACTTTATTAAATAAGCAAACCTAAGCGAACTTCCCGCCGAATGGTTGACGAAGAGTTCGCTGAACGTTCGTTTCGTTTACATCCCTAGTTATTGATTATCAATTTGAACATGTTCATTTCCTATTATTATTATTATTATTATTATTATTATTATTATTATTATTATTATTAACATCTTTTTTTGGAAGAGACGAAAGTCTCGGCAAATTATTATTAACATCTTGATATCTTATTATTATCAAACATGTTATCCGAACATATTTTTCCTTGTTATTTTTGAACATTTTTAAATGAAAACGTGACTAAATTGGTCCTAGTTACTCTTCGGGACGGAGTGGAAGAAGGGAGGGGATTCTCGAACGCGGAAAAGGATCCAATAACTTCGAAAGAATTGAACGAGGAGCCGTATGAGGTGAAAATCTCATGTACGGTTCTGTAGAGTGGCAGTAAGGGTGATTTATCTGTTAACTTTTCCACTATCACCCCAAAAAAACCAAACTCTGCCTTACGTAAAGTTACCAGAGTACGATTAACCTTTGGATTTGAAATCACTACTTATATACCCGGTATAATAAGTTCTTTGCTGGTTAAAATTTTTGGATTTGGATTTAAAGTTTTAGATTAGAATAAATAAAAGAAATGATAGTAAAAAAGTTTCCGTTTTTTTTTTTTTTTTGATAGATTTCGAACCTGTTTTTTTAATAAAAAGGCATTTACAGATAATTACAAAAAGAATTTTCACAAAAATTGTTATTGATTTGAGAAAAATAAGTATTGATTTAAATTGGGAGGACACCAATAACTTAGTTCGAGAAAAAAAGAGTTCGAAAAACTATATTTTTAATGTGATCATTTAAATGTGACAAAATTGCAATAATGGTCTGAATGTTTGGTAAAATTATGTGTTTTTGGTCCAAAAAAGTTTGGTGGTGCATAAGTGATCTAATTTTGGATCTTTTTAGTGTTTTTAGTTCTTATACACTTAAAATGATTATTATGCCCTTTAGATTTGTATTTGTATTTTTTTATATTTATATTAATACTTTTTAAATAATTAAATATACTAAAAGTCTCTCTCTTCAACCCACTTGCGATCCAACCCTTGTTGTCAATCGATTCAACATCAAATTCCAGCATTAGAATGCAATTTCTTTCTTGCAAACATTCGATTCCACTATTAAAGATCTGATTTACCCTTATCAAATAATTGATTCTTGCATTTGGATTGTATACCCTTAACCTATCATATGATATCACTCGTCTCATTGTACCTCTTCTACAAAGCTCACTTCTTTGAACTAAAAGGTAGAACAACACAACCGGACCACTTAAGAACAGTCGCAGCATAAGACCGTCGGATTACCAGAAACTTTTTGACGCTGCTGGCTACCAGATCAAAACTCTACGGTTGTATATGTACTCTTTAGGTGGATGAATTTTGTCTTTAAATGTATACAAAAAGTAGAATTTTTTATTTTAGTTTTAACATTCAATACTCTTTTAGGTGGATGAATTCTTTTCTTTTCTTTTTTTTTTTTTTTTGGTAAATTACTAACAAAATCATAAAAGTAATTTGTTGCTCGCCATCAATTCATGGAAGCATGCTTTCTCCTATTTTATTGAATATTTATTTTTGTCTTTTGCATATAAATGCCATTATAATATTAAACCTTACTCGTAGTCATAATTATGATTTCTTTAAGTAATTATTACTAGGGATTTTAGAATATAATTTTGCCAATAGTCATAATTTAGCTATCACTTTGTCATCTTTCATGGCTCGACATCAATGGTAAGCAAGTTGATAAGGTCATGAAAATAATCAAATGTGAAAAAGAAATAACAAACAATAAAACCTTTTGACTTGGAAAATTAAAATAAGATTTCTTATTTAGATACACCGTACATAAAAATATAATATGCGAACAAGATTCTTGACAAAGAGAAGCCAACAAACAAAACTATACTTCACATAAAAGATCAAAATATTGCGAAATAAAAGAAAGTCAAATAATTCTAAAAATTGTTGATTGCAATAATTTTGCACGAGGTAAGATGGTCATTGGAAGCATATTGATAACCTTTGGACCCGAAGGTGCATCCTTGATGATTGAAGATATACTGATCACATTCTTCCATTTCTAGCAAAACCTTCAAGAAATCATCAACGTCACATGGAAGCTTAAGTGGGCCCTTGCTTTTATAACCATACTCGAATTCAGCTTCTTCAAGAAGCGTTTTGAAAAGAGGATGGTTTGCATGTTCAGTTTTGATCACAAACCTTTGCCTTTGAGGACCAACGTAGACAGAAAAACAACCTGTAGGAGCTATATTGAGAGTTTCCTCTATTTTGGAGTCTAAACGTGACCATGATTTTCGTTTCTTGAAGAAGGCTCGTTTGATTCTTGAGGAGCTCTTTCCTTCACATCCATCTCTGCTACCACCCAATGATTTACATCTTTCCCACGTCTTGGTAAGTAACCCTATTTTTCTTTTGCTTTTGCTTTTACTTGACTCCATTTTGATCTTCTTCTTCTTAAAAACAATCTAAAACGAGGATCGAAAGGGGAGATTGCAAAACTATTGCCTACCCTCTATCATAAGCCAAATATAGCATGATTTTCATCCTTGGCCTCATTGTGTTGCTCATTCTTCTTGTAATTAACCACTTGGATAATTAATGTAAGGCAGCACTTATATGTCAAGTTTAAAGCACTCACAAAGAAGGGGGGGGGGGGGGGGGGGGTATTGTGGAAGAGAGAGAGAGAGAGAGAGAGAGAGAGAGAGAGAGAGAGAGAGAGAGAGAGAGAGAGAGAGAGAGGATGTTTAGAAGTAGCTCTCTTTATATAGAATCACTTGACATCTTTTATATATATATATATATATATATATATATATATATATATATATATATATATATATATATATATATATATATATATATATATATATATATATATATATATATATATATATATATCATATAATTTATCTTTTTTTTATTAAATATTTAATCAAGAGAATTTGATTAAACTAAACATAATATAATGTGTATTTTTATTATTTTTTTTAAATAACAGCCTAGACTGGAATAAGCATTCCAGATTGAACAAAAATATTTTTCAGATAAAAATTACATTTCGTAATGATATTCTGAATTCCAAACTGAAAATCGGAGTTTGAAAAAAAAAAAAAAAAAAAAAAGAACTTCGTAATTTCTAAAACAAGCCCAAAATCCAATGAGCAATTCTAAAATTTCGAGATTTTTTTACTAAAATCTAAGAAAAAGTAAGACATACATAGTAATGAAACTATAGACGATATTAAGGCATATCATCAGACATTTGATGGAAAAAAAATGATGTTAACTGTAACATCCGTTTCTCAGGTACATTTATATTATTTAAGCTTATTATTTTGGGAATTATGGCTCTACGCGGGGCATAGATGGCCTGCTAGGTAGGGCGTAATTTATTAAGCCCATGCAAGGGTTTTATGCCCCATACAGGGCGTAACCATGCAGGGTGCAAACCCTAATTTTCAGGGTTCCGAGCTCTATTTAAGGAGTTAAACCCTTAAGGCCCTTCTTATCATCAACATCCACCCCCTCCCCCTTGAGGATCTAACTTAAAACCCTAAACCTCTATAGCAAATCTTGAGCCTTTGGTGTGTTTTTGGCCCATTAAGAAGGAGACGTCAAAGCTTGTAGATTGTTGAAGCTCAAGCCTGTAGATCCAGAGCCTACGTTGCATTTCTCAGCTCGAGAAGGTATAAAGCTTGTATCTTGTCGGTCAATGTGTTAGATCTCATTCGATTCTTGGTTTTCATTTTCTTTTGTCCCATAATCTTATGTCTTGTGAGTATAAGCTACTCCAAACATTATGATTGTCATTTCTTGTTGTTTCTGAGATTGAGGAGTCATAAAAATGGGGTCTTCGTTGTCTTCCTTCACCATGCAAGGGTTTTTGGTCATAAGTGAATGTTATGGGGCTAGGGTTTGATTTTGAGCTCCGTTTTGCCTTGTACATGCATAAAGTTATCGAATTTATCACTTAAGACATTTATTAGGACCATATCTGAGCTTTGAGTGAAAGGCCTTAATGTATTAACTGCTTAAAATGATGTTTGACAATGAACACTGTATTCAGGGCGTAATCTGGGCTACGCCTAGCGTAGCCGAATTTTCACCCATTTTCTGGATAAAGCGCTACACTTTACATAGAGCTAGGTGTATGTTACATGTAAGTCATATTGGATTAGGTGTTGAAGCCAATAACTAAATTAGTATAATCTTTAATTATTAGCAAAGTCATTTTGGGTTGCCCTTAAACCTAGTAATTGAATATGATGACTTTTAGAGAGAGAGATTGATTTTTTTAATTTATTATATGATTAATAAATTAATTAGAAATCAAATTAAATAATCTACTAATATTTTTTGAGAAAAATATATTAATTAGAAATTATATTGTTTAATTAAAAATAAACCATAAATTAATGGGAATTATTTTAAGGATTAATTGGAATAATTAAAAATGGAGGGACTAAAGGTGACAAAGTTCAAAAGTTTAACATTGAGCAATTATAGAACATCCTTAAAGGGGGACAAATTCTAGATAGACTTTAAGGGTTTCTTGGGCATTAAGGGAGCCTATGAATCCTTAGGTAGCAAGGAAATGGGATTAGGCCTATCTTAGGAAACTGCCTTATCCATAGACCCCTCAATCACCTATAAAAAGCACCTCCTAGGAGCATAATTTCAGTCATCCCTCTTATCAAAGGATAACTGAAAATCTCATATCCCCTCTCCTCTCTCTTTAGGTCTTCTAGTTGCTAGGGTTGGGTGTCAGCCATTAGATGTACGAGAAGGAATCAATGTTTATTTACTACAATAAACATAAGGTATGTATTTTCTAATAAACATTTGGTATTTTTTTTAAATGGCAATGTAGTTCTAGGGTTCTTGATATGCAATAGTTGTTTGCAAATCATAGTGAGAACATAGACCCTTTATGGTGCATGTAAACTTTAGGTTTATGTTTTTCTGCCAAATATGTAATGCCTCGATCCTGGTACGCCTTTTTACTCATTTAATTATTTATTTTGAAAGAGGGAGTTGATGAGTTGGTGGCCCTAACTCGTCAAGTTGAGGCCAGTTTATGCGTGGGATTTGAGCTACCTACTCGACGAGTCAAGAGCCCTCGACTCGACAAGTAGCTCAGCCAGAGTGAAACCCTAATATCAGGATTTTACACCCTATTTAAGCTCCTTAACCTCCACCCCTTGGCCTCATTTCTAGCCTCCTTTTCCTAAACCCTAATCCACAAAACCCTAGATTTTTCTTTGAGGCCGTTTGTGTGATCCTGGTGTATCTTTGAAGCTTGTAGAAGAAGAAGATAGAGGGCTCAAGAGCGGAAGAGTAGATCCAGTAACTACACTCCATTTGTTACACTTTCTGGCAATCAAGCTCTTATCTTGGCTATTATTTCATTAGATCTCTTTATGTCCTCTTTATGATGGTTTTTGGTCATAGAATGATGGCCTTTGGAGAATGATCAACCCAAGAGGGTAATCTTCTAGATCTAAGACCTTAAAGGGTTGAAATGGCATAAAGGTGCAAACTTTATGTCATTAGAGTCCCATGCAAGCTTTAAGGATGTCATTATGGCCTTTTAGAAAAGGCCATGCATGGAAGCAAGCTCGAGACTTTACGTGTTCAACTGGTATCTAGGCCCTAGATCTAGGTTTTCATGCTTTAGTTTGGGATATTAAGGCTTTTTGGACATGATCTATGTCCTAAAAGATTAGGGTTTTAGCTAAACCCTTCAAGAAGGGCTATCGACGGGTAAAGTTGGAAACTTTACCCTTAGAAATATCATTTCCAGTGAACAAGCGAAGTATTGGACTTTAGATTTAGAGAACAGGGGCTTAATCTGTTAAGATGGCCAAATAGACAGAAGGACTCATCGAGTCCATAAGGGAACTTGGCGAGTTGGGTCGTGTTGTCTTGTTCCAGTTTAAAGTAGAACTCGACGAGTATGTAGAGGGACTCGACGAGTTGATTCGCCAAGTCACGAGTCGGAGGAACGACTCGGCGAGTTGAGTCACGATTCAAGGATTTCTGAGTTAAAGAGCTCGGCGAGTTGAAAGGTTGACTCGGCGAGTAGGTCAACCCAAAATGTTGAATTTGACCAGAACGTTGACTTTGACCAGGGGTTAAATGGTCATTTTACCTTTAGAAGAATTTTCAGTTTTTAACTAAATGTTTTGTGAATGTATCGATGGGGAGTCGTTGGAGCAGCCATTGGAGATTCCTCGCTCGAGTTATCAGCAGCCAGTTTGAGAGGTGAGTTTTTTCTCCAGTAGGAACAGGTCGAAGGCACCAATTCCAGCTCGTTTATGTATATTAGTGTATCCCGAACTTCGGTCTGATGCAGGGTTAGTCTGATGCATATTATATGTTCCGGACTTCAATCCGATGCCGCGGCGGTCTTGAGAAGTGTATATGTATACTTGATGTCTTTTTGATTCATGCATGTTATGTGTTAGGTGCTCTGGGCCTAGGTCCGATGTCAGGGCAAGCCTGATGCATGTTAGCTTATATGTTATGTGTTATGTGTTCCGGGCTTCGGTCCGATGTCGGGAAAGCCCGATGTATGTTATATACTTGTGTTATATGCTTATGTTATGTGCTTATGATATATGATATGATGTGTGTATGCCGAGCAAGCCCGATGCCAAGCGAGGCCCGATGCCAGATGTGGTCTGATGTCGGGGTAAGCCCGATGTTGGGTAAGCCTATGCTAGGTTCGTCCCAATGTAGTTGGGCGGAGTCCCAAATTTTATGTTATATGTTATATGTTATGTTTATGGTATGTGGTAGTTTAGGGGAGCTCACTAAGCTTCGTGCTTACAACTTTCAGTTTTGGTTTCAGGTGCTTCCGCTAGCAAAGGCAAGGGCTCAAGATGATCGCATGACACACACCACTGTTTCTAGCATGGGAAATTTACTCTAATATTCGATATGAGATTTTAATATATTGGCAGTTGTTATGATATATTGAGATACATGATTTATGACTTTTATATGATGATGACATTTATGGTTTTATTAATGATTTAAAAACGAAATTTTTGGACCGTATATTTGGGATGTTTCAGTTTGGTATCAGAGCCTTGGTTTGAGGGATTCGGATACACTCTTGGGTGTATCTGAACTCAAACTGAGGACTTCTTATGAAAATTTTCAAAAGAAAAATCATTTTTATAAAAGGGACATTGAGAAAAAGAAAAAGAAATTTAGAAAGAGTGGAAATAATTTGAAAAAGAGAAAAGGATGTGGTGCTTGCAATTAGTTGAGCTTAAGTAAGTTCTCTCAAATCATTTTTATAAAAGGGATATTGTGAATTGCATACTAGTGCAAATTAGTCAATATGATGGCCTGATTAGTATATGCTTAATTATGTATACTCAATGCTCAAATGTTGCTTGCTTTGTGATTTTAGGTGTTCTAGCTATCT